GAAAATTCTCTCAGTGGCATAAGGAGGAACACAGTTCTTACTCCCCCTGCAGTGCAACTACCACCTGATGTGAAGGAAGTCAGAGAGGAAGCGGAACTGCAGCAGCTAGTGATGAAACTGAAGGATGGATTGGCTCTCCAAACCCAAACAGGTATAAGCTCTCCCAGTAGTCTTGACAGTGTCTTACTCTATAATATTGTTCATAATTGTTTAATCCTCCAAGGACACTCAGAATCTTGCCTTAGCCATTGTAGGAGTATTCAAGCTCTGTACTGTAAGGTAGAGCATATTCTGAATATAACCCCTAATGTTGGACTAATTTGAAACTGGATGAGTTAGATCTCATAAGAGAAAGTCAGTGTCAGCAGTCAATTAAGGAGGGAAGTTAAACTGTTGAGGGCACTGGAGGTCTTTCCTGTTGCCACTTCTGTGACACTGTAACTATGACTTCAGTCAGAGGCAGACTTCAAGCAGTACAAAATCCCTATGGAATCAATGGTCTTACGCAGCAGGGCTTTGTTCAACACTCAGGATGCCTTACTTTTGATAATGAGGATGTAATCAGGAATATGACAGAAAAAGCTGCCATTTCTACAGATTTTTCTTAAATTAAATTTTTATAAAGAGTTTCCCAGGGCTCTGGCAGCATTCAAAACCTTAGAAAGACTTAAAATCTGTTCTGCTTTTCAGCCCAACAGACCCCTCTGCAGCAGGAGTTGTTCTCTACAGCTGAGCATGTTTGCAAATCCTTTTCTGACCTCATCAACCAAGTAATTTCACCAGCTTGTGAATGATGGAAACCACCATTCACCTTACAGCTTCACTGAACTAGTTAAGGTAATTGATGCCATATCAGATTCTTTGAAGTGTCTCAGGTGTTGCATTGTAATAACACAGCATAACAGATTTCTGCATTTAATTACTTCACCAGGAGCATATTGGAGAACAATATTCCTTTTCTGTTGGTGGTTTCCAGCTCCTGTGCAGTGGATTCCTCAGCAGTGCAAATGATTGCCCATTTCTCTCTCTTTAGCTGATATCCCAGGGTCGAGTTACTTCTTAGTAAGTAACTCCAGTATTTCTTGTTGGTGCCAGCAACAAGCAAAACTTTTTTTTTCTTCTAATGCACAAAAGGATTTTAAAGATCTGAGAAATGGAAATTATGCAGTACCACTTCAGAGAGAAAAAAAATATCAATTCAGTTACTATCACAGTTCTGCAGGAGGTGCATAAAAATTAGTGAATGAGTATGTTCATGTGTGCTCAAAACCAGTTATGGTTCAAGAAAATTTGCATAATTTTAAGGATTTTAAGGATGTTTCTGAAACTATAACAGCTTTCCAAGAGAGAAAATAATCCTAATTATTGCAGGACTTTTTCTGTGATTACTGAGAAAATAAATTTGGCTTGGGTAGAAGCAAAATATTTTTGAAAGCTTTGGGAGAAAAGTGAGGTAAATTATATATTTGGAAGCTTTGCTTCATATAAAATCAAACACAGTTTAGGCTGATGTGATTGAAAAGTGTAGTGCTCTAAAAAAGCTGCTTAGCAGAACTCTTAATTTTCCACATAGATTTTCCTTGTCTTGTATTTTTCAGAATGAACTATAATCATCAAGATAAATCACAGAATCACAGAACATGCTGAGTTGGAAGGAACCCAAAAGGATCATTGAGTCCAACCCTTAGCCCTGCAAAGGACCAGCCCCAAGAGTCACACCATGTGCCTGAGAGTATCATCCAAACACTTCTGGAACTCTGCCAGGTTTGGTGATGTGACCACTTCCCTGGGGAGCCTGTTCCAGTGCTCAACCACCCTCTGAGGCAAGAACCTTTTTCTATCCAACCTAAAACTCCCCTGACACAAATTTAGACCATTCCCTTGGGTCCTGTCACTGGTCACCACAGAGAAGAGATCAGTGCCTGCCCCTCCTCTTCCCCTCATGAGGAAGTTGTAACTGCGATGTGGTCTGCCCTCAGTCTTCTCTTGTCCAGAATGAACAGAACAAGTGACCTCAGCCACTCCTCACCCAGCTTCCCCTCAAGGCCCTGCACCATCTTCATTGTCCTCCTTTGGACACTGTCCAATAGCTTAAAATCTTTCTTACATTGTGGTGCCCAAACCTGCCACAATATCCAAGGTGAGGCTGCCGCAGTGCAGAGCAGAGCAGGACAATCCCATTCCTTGATGGGCTGGTGATGCTTTGCCCGATGCCTCCCAAGACACAGTTGGCCCTCCAGCCTGCCAGGGCACTACTGGCTCATATTCCACTTGTCATCGACCAGGACCCCCAGGTCCCTTTCCACACTACTGCTTTCCACCTTCTCATTCCCCAGTCTGTGTGTATGTCCAGGGTTGCCCCATTCCAGGTGCAGAATCCAGTACTTCCCCTTGTTGATGGTTGGTGATTGCCCAGCCCTCTAATTTGTCAAGGTCTCTCTGCAGGGTCAACAGCTCCTCCCGATTTTGTGTTGCCTGCAAACTTGCTTAGTATCCCTTACAGTGTCTAATCATTTATGAAGATGTTGAAGAGCACAGGGCCCAAGATGGAGCCCTGTGGAACCCCACTAGTGACAGGTCACCAGTCTGATGTCACCCCCTTCACTATTACCCTCTGTGCTCGACCCATGAACCAAATGCTCACCCACCAGATGATGTGACGTTTTGTCCAGAAGGATACTGTGAGAGACAGTATCAAAAACTTTACTGAAATCCAAAAAGATTAAATCAACTGGCTTCCTTTGATCTACTAGGGGTGATGAAGGGACTGTCTGACTCATTAAAATGGCTAGAAGTCTTTTTTTTTGTTGGTAGCACCTCAGCCTTCTTGAAAGACCTTACACTGTGGTGAGATTAATAAACATTCCTGGTTCTTTCTGCTAGTTTTGGTCACAGGAAGCCTGAATTACCCACACTGCAAACACTCAAGAACTTTACAGCAACTTAGCTACTGGAAGCTAAGAAGTGGTTTGTCTCTAGTAAAGGAGGTATGAAAAGGGTGAAAAGAAACTTATTGAGGAAGGGCCCCAGAAAACAAATAGTGATGAGGTCACTAATAAGTGGATACAGCCATACTAGCACATAAACAATACAGTGTGAGATAGAAGCTCAATAGCTTTTGCAATATGCCACTGCCAAGAGACAATCAACAATCCAAGGAACCTAACTGTTAATTATGGGAAGATATCCATCAGCTTCGGATGAGGCTTTAAATCTCCGCCCAGTGTGAGCATCGGAATTAAAAATGGTTGGAAACAGTGACAACTGACAAATACTGGTTTGCTCTGCTGCAACACTGAATGTATCTGGAGCCCAAATTCTTACTAATAGATAGCCCCGAACTGCCATGGACTCTTACTTCATGGCAGTGTGTAAAGACTAAAAGAAGTGTTGTCCCATGCTAAGAAGCAGTTGTTTAGCTCCCAAATACCTACAAGATGAAAGGGACAAAATCACAAGGTCTATATTTTGCTGTTGGTCAGTTCAGCTGACAAGGAATCAACTTCTGTCAGACATGTTCATCCCATCCTGACGAACTCAGACTGGGAAACAGCAAGCCAGGTGTAGTATCTGCAAAAACAGTTTTAACTCGCTCAAAGATCTCAACACAGACAACCTTTTATCATTTGCACTTTATCACTTGCAGGTTTATGTGTAATGAATTGCATCTCCTTTTTTATTTCAGCCCAATTAATTACACAGATTGTGTCTTTTACATCATCAATTTCCAAATGTTCTCCATAGTGTGACCTATATTAGAGATCCATCTGTTTTCTCAGTCTTGTCTCTACATTCTTTCCTCGAAGGCCAAATTTTGCTACAGCCTATTAATTAGGAAGCTTGCTGAAGCACAGAAGTATTGAAAATTTGTTTAAGCTAAATATCATCTTGGTCCATAGTGGTATTTCACCATTTCTGTTGCTATCTGAAGGGAAGAAAGCTGCCATGAACCATTTCCTAAGGGATCCTGTTGTTGCAGCTGGAGTATACCTAAAGTGGAAGCACTAGCCTCTTCCCAAAGGTCCCTGTGGAAAAGCAGCTATGATAAACAGTACCTGTTCAGGTAATCTGTGTCATTTTATATTTTCTAGAGCTGAAGTGCATATGGGAACAGGTAACATCTGGTCTACCAATTGTAGTGCCAGCTGAGGCATTCAGCCCTTAACATGCTCTTTGTCAGTTGCTGGACTTCATAGCTGTAGGGACTGTGGGTGAAGACGTCTCCTATGTTGATACAAAATTGCACACAATGATAGATATATTAATATAATTTAGTTAATTAAGAACATAGGAACAGTAGAGAGAGGACCTGTTGTAATGATGGTCTTGCCACCGTCCCACACGGTAGCAAAGCACACTCATAGGCTGTGGCTGCAGGTGGGGGGGGGTGTTGCTTAGTACACTAAACTGTATGTTCCCGTGCTTCTCCTGCTTCAGTGTTCCCTCTTCTCTTGAACACTTAAATAGTTTGTTGCATGCTTAACTTGAAGCACAAATCTTTGTCTGCTTCCTTAAGATCAGTATTTCACCCAGTGGGACTGTGTTTAACCTTTACTTTGGTCAGGCCCAGTAACCATTTTAAGATATCCTTTACACATTTTGTTACTTGAACCTATTTCTCCAAGTTGATGAACAACCAGCAAACCAGTTTTTCTGCGGGCATTTGGAGAAAAAAAAAGAAAAAAAGAAAAAAGAGCAATGAAATATTACTACATGCTCAAGGAAAGAAACTGTGAATGAGCAATTAAATATAATTGCCCTGAAAAGCTGAAATTTGTAGTTGCATCCAGCCAGTCAGGCAGTGGATATATTTTATTTCATAAAAGCATGAAATGTTACCTGCCCTAAGTTATGTTGCATTAGTTTAATATCAAATTGCCTACTAGAGTTATAGATAACAGAGGGAACTGATTTTGCTACAAAGAGCTTGCGAACTAAAACAGAAGCAATTTTAAGTTATACATGACTTTCTTGTGATTAAACACTTTAAATGAGAATGTGTAACATTTTAAGTAGTGTTTTTAATAACTAAGAATTTAGGGAAAATATCCTAAAAATATATTGGGAAAGCAGAGGAGCTGGTAAAATCTGTTAACCCTTTTACTTTTGCTGGAAAACTTGAAACATTTTTGGAAGGTATTTTTCATGTAAAAATATGTACTATTTTTCTTTTAGTATCATGATGTCTTTGAGCAGTGATTGTTTTGTAAAAGCGTACAGCTACACATACAATCAAAATCACCATCTTGATTCTAATCCAGTCTTGGAGCCAGTGGAGGTTTTTTGACAATTTCCTTCTCTGCTTCTCAGTGTTTTGTTGAAGGATCGGTTATTTCCTGTTTTGGCACACAAAATGGTGCCACCTGTGAATGGGTCACATATATTACAAAAGGCCTGAGATACACACAGGTTAAAGTAGGCAACTGCTCATAAATCATGCAGTTTATTAAGGAGATGGAATTAATAGAAAAAAAACGTAAGTCCAAGTTAATCAGAGATATGGGTGCCCATGCTTACAGGCCTTCTTCTACCATGTAACTTGACATCAGTGAGGATTAGAATGCAAAAAAATAAAGAGAAGTAGTTAAAAAATACCTACAAATCAAGATCTTGAACTAAAAGTGTGATTTCCTCTTTTTTCCTAACTCTCCAGTGATTCTTTGAAATGATGTAGGTCTAGTCTTATGCATGTGGATACTTATTAAATCTTCAAATGAGTCTCTCTTCTTCAGAACTGGCGACCTCTGAATACGAGAAAATATCCCTGAAAAGTGACATGAAAATGCATATAAATAAATAATTTCAAAACAGCAAAGAGCAGCTGAGTACTCAGTTTCCCACATCTGTTTCCTCTGCAGAGCAGCTAAAAAGCTGCTGCTGGTCCCCATTTTATCAGCATTGCCCCCAAACTTCTTGCTGTGGTGATATCTATAACCCTCTACTTGCAAGAGTTGCCTTTCAGTGTCAGGTCACTTTGATCTTTTCCCCCACTATGGACCTTTTCCTTCAATCTTCCTATAAAACTCTTCTACTTGTAATTAGCAGCTCTTAAGACTGCTCATAATCTTACTGACTCACCAGCTTCTTATCAGCCTCCCTGCACAGTACATGAGATCTCTCACGCTGTTTAGTGGCAGATTTCTTATTTGCTTGAGGAACTATGGGGTATTTTCTTTACAATGATCTCTAAAATCCAGCAGATTGGTTTTATTTCTCTTAGACATATTTGCCTTCTGAAAAAATAACTGGCTAGTATCTGCTTATTTACAAGTGTAATATGTAATAACTCAAATGTACAGTAGCAAGTGTAATATGTAATATGTAAACAAGTGTAATATGTAATAAGTCAAATGTACATTAGCACCTGACCCACTACGCTCCCTGACACCTGGCAACGCTGGGACAGCAAATGATGTCTGTCTTGGGCCAGGTGCAAAGGCTGATTTGAGCCTAATTAGCTGTACCTGTGAGGGAGGTCTGCACAGCTGTGGCCACTGAGTGGCAGAGGGACTGCTGGGCAAGGAGAAAGGGGGTAGAGAGAGGTGCTGTTGGCTTCCTGAGGAGGATTTTTTTAGCTGCTCTTCAGGAAGATTTACTGTAAGTACAAAAGCTATGTTTTCCTTTTGGTTCCAAAGTCTTATTTTGTTTCATGGAGAGTTGTTACAAGTATCATGTAACTCTAGTGTTGTAATGTTCTGGAAATGCCTTTATGAAACCTGCTTTTTCATAGTGTTTGGATCTTGTTAGGGGAAAGATGAGTTATTTAAGATACTTTGGCCAGGTAACTGTTGAAGCCTCTCCCTGTCTCATTCCTCATCACTTGCTAGGATGTGATTTCTATCTGCAATTTTTACCAATTGATTTCTGCTTTCCCTGAATGAAATATAGGCAGTAGGATGAAGGGTTACAAAGATTAAAACAGCTGGCTTTGTTAAGAAACTGGGAGACTTGGATGAGAAGTTAGATAGCTCCTCCAAAAAATAAAATTTAGGCTGTCACTGCTGTAAGCTGCCTGCTAAAGCCTGATGTTAATCAGTTGTACAGAAAAATCAGATTAACTGATTACAATTCACAAAACAAAGAGGGAAAGGAAGGAGTCCTTGTTTTTCTTAAATTGTAAATACTTAGTAGTGCTTAAAATCTCTCTATGTAAGTATAAACAAAAGTCAGTATTTCACAAAACCCATAATTTGATTCTTCAAAATAAATCAGACTGTTATGCTTAGTCTTGACTGGAACAAAAGCTCTTTGTTTAGGAAAATAACATTGTGATCTAGATATGAAGAGCCAGATGTAAGCAAAAGGCTAGATGGGAGTTTAGACAGGGATATTCAAAGCTGCAATCCTGAAAACAAGAGTAATTAGGTGCTTTTGCCTGAAGGGCATCTAAGTTTTAAACAATACTATTGCCTCATGTGTCTAAAGCTGCATTCTGTTTGCACCCAAAAGTGTATCAGTCTGATAAGGGCCGAGCAACTTGTTGCCTTTGTGATTTCTAAGGCAAATTGGAAACCAGAAGTTCCAACACAGTCAAGATCCAGTCAGTGCTATGCAATAGCTCAGATTCTTTGTGGAGCAGGATAGGATACACTCCTTGCTTTTAAAATGCAGGCAGTGGTTGTTTGGCTCGTATTTTAGAAACTGACCCTGTGTGTTCTTCAGTCTGAGGGGATTGATTCAAACACAATTCCTATATCCTAGCTCAGTGGTTGTGACACTGTTTCTAGGTAACAGGGGTAAGGACCTCTCAGTCCTTCCTATCTCAGATACTGGATTTCAATACTCAAAAAAATGTTGAGGTTTGTGGGCCAGAGCTGGACTGTGCAGTGGTATAGTGTCCCTGTGGTGCAAGAACCCTGTGTTCAAATCCATTTTTAGAGATACTCTAATGGGTAAGTGCCCAGATAGGTTCTTCATTATTCCACGGACATTTCCCCCAGAATGCCTTAATAACTCAGATCTAGGAGCTCGAGATACGTGTCTCAATCTGCTCAGGTGTAAAGGGGGTTCTGCCTTCTCACTGCCTTCTCGTCCTTGCTTGGTGTTTTATTCACAAGCACTACTTTTGCAGTCATCATGGCTGCCTGCTCCAGAGGGGAGAGGGTGTCTGACTCTGAGCTAGGATGTTGTAGTTGGTTGGTAGGAAACAGTAAAATGCATTAGAGCTGTTAGTGATGGCAGTGGCCATTCTGCCTCTCCATTAAATCATAGCACCTGCCCCTATCTGAAAGTGGATATTCTCAAGGGAAGGATGCATCTGTTGGTAGCAGGATCAGAACTGAAGCCTTGGAAGGGACTGAGATTTAGGAAAAGCTGTGCTGTATCTCCCCTCTGGTAATGGGGAGGGTAAGTGATATGCATATGGAAACACTTACTTTAAACCTGGGGGGTCTGCTCTTGGCCTGGGAACCTGGACATGAGGAATTGCAGCATTTAGTGTCACAGGTAGTGGTGTCTTCCTGAAGCTGTAGCTGTGTCTGAAAGCCTGCATGCATCCAAGTCCTAGCTCTGTTTCCATTGTGTGTTGGGTAAAGTATGGAAATGGACAACTAGTGGTTGACTGCTAGATGGCAAGTAAACATACCTTTCCTCTTCTGCTGAAAGACTACTATTCTCTCCAACAGCACCCGTGCCCTGCACTCCTGAGGTAACACACCTCTCAGAATGGGGAATTCCCAACTAGCCTTTTCATAGCACAGTAGTGGTAAAAATACTGGTGTGGAAGAATATATTTGTGTTTTCAGTTGCTGAGCTGCCTTCTTTGTCCCAATCCTCCTGTTTCACTTTCTGCAGCCCCTCCTTCCCCATCAAACTGAAACTTAAAAGCTGTTGTTAGAGTTCAGATTGTTTGGAGGTCACATTTTTACTGAGATCACATTGGACATAAAGATAGCTCTGTACTTGATTAGGAGGAGTTTGTGCAACACTGTCCTCTGTTTCTGTACTATAACCACATAACGCAGTAAGCCTGTATAGATTTTCTTTCCCACTAGACTCTAATTATTGCCCATGAGACTTATATTAAAGGAACAGTGACCTTGATTTCGCCCTGTGAACTGAGAATGTAGAGTAGCAATCTTCTGCTCAGCTTCTGCTAGCTGCCTTCTCCCTAGGCCATGGGTTCTGGAGAGCACACAGTCCACATAGATATCCCAGAAGAGCTGAGCTAGGTCCCAGAACAAAGCCCCATGTTTCAAGTTCTCTGATGATTTCAGAAAAATCATGAAGTCCCAAAAGCCACTGACAGAGTCAGAAATGCGAGGCTTCCTCATCTCCAGTAAGACAGCTGAGGAGGATTCCCAACACTGGGGGTCTGCCCGCCCAAGAGCTAGTGGATCAATTTGACTATGGCAGAGGAAAGGTGTCATGCAGAATGCTGCCATGATTAGCAGACAGCAGGTGAGTCTCATGTTACAGTGGATTCTTCCTCTGCTCCCAAGGTCCATTGTGTCACTAAAATATAAGAAAACCAAAAGAAGCTGAAAAATTTCTCACTTTTAGATGCAGATCATATAGAAGGCACTCAAATGTTGTTTCTCTGCTCCTTAAAGATGTGTGTATACTTTTTTGCATGTGTGAATATAATACTAGAGGAGCTGCAATACTGTGTGCAGCAGAAGCATGTGTAAAAATTTGCTAATCATCCTCGAATCTGTATGATAAACTCTCTTATTTGGAACTTCTTCATACTGAAAGTTTTCCACCTTTCTTGATTTACAGATCCCTACTTTTTCAGTAAAAATCCATTCCTTTTTACAGATTTTAAGCCTTTAGGCAGTCTTGATTTTCTCAAAATTTTATGAACCCTTTAAAATAGTCTTCAGAATCACAAGCATTAGTTGAGCAGCACGTGGAAAACTTTCATTGAAAATGTGTTTTAATGGTTCTAGTTAATGAAAGTTGCAAATTCATCCACTGACTAGTGGTGTTTTGCTTGCTAAAATGCAATACAGTTCTGAAAAGAGAGTATAGCAAAGCCATGGCATGGCAGCTGTATTGTACAACATGTATACATGCACATGGAATCATAGAACAGTTTGGGTTGCAGGGGACCTTTAAATGTCATCTAGTCCAACCCTTGTCTTATTGCAAGAGGCCCTGTTAAAAAGTCTGTCCCCAGCTTTCATATAGGTGGCTACAATATATATATATAAGGTGGCTGCAATATATATATATAAGGTGGCTGCAATATATATATAAGGTGGCTCCCTGGAGCCTGCTCTTTTTCAGGCTGAACAACGCCAACATTCTCAGCTTTTCCTCATAGGAGAGCAGTTTCAGCCCTCTGATAATTTCTGTAGCCCTTCTCTGGACTTGCTCTAACAGGTCCATATCTTTCCTGTGCTGACATATATATATATATATATATATACATATATATATATAAGTAGAGATGCTTATTGAAGATTGCTAACAATTGTCTGTTAAAACTGTGAAGTTTGAGAAGTAGCAAGTAGTATCTATAATGGTTGAGAGAAATCCTGAGAATTACAACTTTTTGTGGACAGAAAGGCCTTGTCTTCATCAGTTTTCATTTCTAGTATGTGCTTCTATGTTGAGTTTTCAAACATGCTTCTAGAATTTCTAATTTTGTAATGAGTTTGGGGGTTGTTTTTAGTGTAGTTCATGGTATATGGAGAAGTTCCCATTTGTGGGAATCAGCAACATCTGAGATCAGCATTTAGGACAAACAATTCTGTTTAATGTATATGGTGACCATGTGAGAATTCATGCTTTTACATTTTCAGTTTGATTGTTGGCAGGGGGGAAACTACCTCTCTTAATAAGCTTAACTAGATAATCAGCTGGCTTTTGGTGTAGAAAGTCTCTTCTGTGAGTGATCATGGAGAGCAGAAAAAATGTTCCTTTGCTGTGTGAAAGAGAATGCCAAAGGCATGATATGGATGTGCAGAGGGATTGTACATGAAAGGTAGCTCAGACATAAGCCTGTGTGCAAGACTAGAGAAGAGTAGGCTGCTTTGTGGAACTTATTTCCTTGTAGAGCTAAAAGACTCTTCAGAGACTTCAGTCCTGGCAGTGATATTCTTACCTGACCCCCTGTCTGGCCACCTGGTCTGGTTCTGGGAACATTTTTTAGATATTCAAACTTGTTACTCTCCAACTTCTTACAGTTTCACCTTTTTAATTTGAGTTGGGATCTTGTGAGATCTGCCTTAACAGCCTTAGCTCTGAACCTTCCATTTAATGAATTAAAGAGGGCCAGCTTGCTCTTCTTGCCCTGCTCTGCCTAGTGGGATGTCTCTTATGACAGTGTGATAGTCATGGGGCTGTCCTTGTGCTGCTCCTAAGATCTCCAGAAGCATCATTCTTCTGTACCCTGCTGTACGAGGCAGGTTTTGATTGCTTTCTTGGAAGCAAACTAAAGGACATCCTGTGAGTCACTACTTCATTCTTCTTTGTGCATCAGAGCCCTTCCTCTGGGCAGCAGACACCTGTACATATATGCTGTGCAGTATACACATACCTATCTGTTTACTGAGGCTTTTTCAAGAGACATAATTGACTTTTTTACCAAGCCTCTAGTTTTCAAAGCAGCTTAGCAATCTCAGATATGACCATGGGGGTGGGGAGACAGATACGGGAGCAGTGGTGGGGGAAGCACCAACACCAAATAGTTCAGACAAAGGAGTAATAATAAAATGAGCTTATAATACTAAATAATAATAATAAAATCCTTAAAAGGATGGTTCTGTGATTTGGACAGGGCCCATCTGGTTTGTACAGGTTAACAACTGAACTGGTTGCTTTGCATTTACTGCTCCCCAGCACCTATCAGAAACTTTCTAAGTTACAAAACTGGATAAGACAAGGGTTCTGGATTTGTCAGAACAAAGGGACAGCCCTGGGCAGGGAGCTGGTAGGGCATTAATATGAGGGTGGGTGCCCTCGAAGGTGTGTTGTGAATGCCATTAGTCAGGGCCATTAGCTAAGGACACTAGTCCTTGTAGTCTGGTCAAACTTAAACAGCATTTTGCTATTAGCCCTCAACAAGGTTTAGGATTTTATTTTTTTAGATAGTTGAGCGCTGAGGGCATGCCCAGGAAATGCCAGATTTCATTAATCTCTTACCTGGTTCATGGGGTGAATGCTTCCATGCAATCCCCCCCCACCTTCCCCCGCGCCGGGCCCTCCAATCTTTAGGTCTTTCTGTCCGTAAATTGAAGTTTGTGTGTCACGCTATTTACATCTTCTTGCTCGGATTTTTTCCCCTCATCCCCGCTTCTTGCAGTTTCGTCTCGCATTCCACTCCCCGTCATGAATAATGCCGTAATTTAAAAAGTTCATCAGTTCCTTCGTTTCCACCATTTAACTTGTAGCTCTCAGTTACAAAGTTTCTCGACCCCGGAGCTGCCGCAGGCTGTCCGGCACACCAGGGATCCCCGCTCCGCTCCCTCCTGGAGCCGGGCAGCGCCGGCACTCCAGCGCTGCTCCCACCCCGCCCCGCCCCGCAGCCCGCATCCCGCATCCCTCATCCCTTACCTGTGCGCTCCGGCGGGCAGGGCAAGACTCTCCGCGCCCGTTGCCGCCGCCGCGCTCCTTAAGAAGCAGGAGCGGGCAGCCCCGCTTAGTTTTTACGTCAGGGCTCGGGAGCGGCCCCCACCCCCGGGGCCCGGCCGCTGCTCCCGGGCATCCGGAGCTCCCTCCTTCCCTGCGCGGAGCTGCCCCTGCTGCAAACATGCTCTGCTTCTCTGCCCTGCCTGTTCTCCTCCACTTGCAAGCCCCGGCCCGCCCGGGAGCAGCCTGGGCGCAGGGGGCTGGAAGAGAAACAGACTTGACAAAGCTACAGCCCTCCTGTTGCCCCCAGTCCTATTAGTGCTGCGTCGGGGGAAGGCAGGAGAGGAAAAGTAGAAAGCTCCAACAACCTTGGAGCTCGAGTTGTCCACACCTGGCTTAGCCCTCTGGTATCTTGCTTTATGTGCTTGGCTGCTGGAGGTCCCTCCACCCCAGAGTAGGAGCCTGTGTGTCACAACTAGAGCTATTTGCTGGCTAGAGCTCAGCACATTCAGCAGCAGCTCCATCTCTCCTGGGAGTTGAAGCAGAGACCCAGAGAAGAGCAAAGGCACAGAAGAAAGCCAGTAAAGGCATTAATTGTTGTAGTGGGGCTGAGCTGCACTCACTGCATCTCAATTTACACAGCTTTACCTGAAGAAGAGCTACCTTGGAGGGCTGCTCACTTTCCAACAGAAGAGCCTTGGCTACATTTTCCCTTGCAAGAAAAATAATGTGGTCTATTATTGTTTTGTTTTTTCTCTGTGAGGTGCTCAACTGGAGCCCCTCTCTCTTGTCATCTCTTTGTAGCTGCTATAAAACTTCTGTATGTATTGGAGAAATGGGCTAAACTAGTAGGGAAGTGAAAAGAAGTCATTGGTGAGAGGGTTCTCCTGGTACTTGCAGCACAGAGCGGAAAGCCTGAGTGCAACTCTGCCTCTGTTCACTGTGCCTGCTGTAGTCACCCCTGGCATACATAAAGCAAACAACTTGAAGAACTGGGGCTCCAAGACTGGGCTAATAACCACTGTTGGGCATGACTTCCTTAACACTAGCTATTTAAAGCAGTAGGGAGGGGGAGACCGTTCTTTTTTCCTACCTCTGTAGTTCATAGGGCAGACCATGTAGCGCTCTGCTGCCTGTCAGAAGCCAGTGCAGCTGCACCAGTCCATACCAGCTGGGCAGCAACTCACTTGCTTTTCCAAGACTTTCACTAGCAACTGCCTTCTGTCTTTGCACTTGGAATCGTAACACCTTCTCCTGGAAGCAACTTCAGTGCTTTAGTAGCACTACTCTTATCTTTGTTGAAGTAATGGGACCACATTGGTTTATATCAGCTGGAAAGCTGGTTGAAACACTGGTTTCGTTAATACCTTTATAATTTGAATTCTTTCTGTGCACCCAGTCCATGCAAATGGTGAAGCATCTTCCTTTTCTAACCCTTGATTTTGTGATGTGCCTATGACAGTAAACACTGCTTTTCTACTCTCCTGATGCTTTATCTCCTCAATAAGCAATGCCTGTGAAGGTGTATTTTATGTAAGTATTGCTACTGTTTAACAAAAGTGAAAGAAAACTCTTGTGCATGAGAGAATGTCTGGATAGAACCCCTGTAAATAGCTATATTGTAGGACTTTGGCAAATTTGGAAATGGTCCATTTATTTATCAAGAAGTATGGGGTTGGGAATGGGGAAATAGTGATCACCAACTGCTGAAACAGACTTCAGGATGAACTGAAGAGTGCGATGCCTTGCAAGGGGCACTTGCAACATGGTGGGGGAAGCCTCCCATATATAGGATCTCCAATGCTGCTTCTCTGTGCTGTTGAATACAGGCTGTTCCAATAGACTTGCTTCTCCCAGGTTCTGGGCTAAAATTATCTTTAAAAATCAACTTTTTTTTTTTCTTAAGTCTGCTCTGTAGGGGCCGATTCTGGGCCCATGTGCAGTTTGGAGCCTTCTTGGCAAGTGAGTAACTTGAGCTGCTCCTCTGTGTTTGAGGGCTGAACCGGGCAAGGGCGAGAAGGAAAGTGTGCCTGTAAGACATAAGTGTTGTGATGTAACCTAAAGGCAGCTCATGGGTCATAAAAGGCTCTGAGGCAGCTGATGTTTGTGGATGGCCTGGGAGCAGAAAGCCAGACTAAGGTGCAGGAAGAAAGACTAAGATGCTGCAGGAGTGGTTTTTGATGATGTTTCTGGATCTATGGGGCATTGCTCCAAGTACTCTGCCCTGTGCTCTTTAAGGGAAGAG